CAACGACAACAACAACGGCTACAGCAAAATGGTTGCTGATCAGTGGATGATGAGGAGTGCAGCAAAGTAAAGCAATTGTGGGGTAGACGGAGCTGAAGAGTTTAGTAGAAGCAAAAAAAAGTTTCAACAATATCAACAAAGGCAGCGTTAGGAGCAGCATCTGTTTCCGCAACAATTATCCATGATGATTTATGCTTCACTAAAATTGTCCATTATTTTTTTTCTTCGTCGATTTTGATATGGTTTTTCTTTCTTTAATTATTGTTGTTGTTTTAAGTTTTGGACAACAGTTTTCAGCAGACCCTACTTGACGTTTTTTTTTCTTGCTGTTGTTGCTATCTGTGGTTATGTATGATGTTTCAAAATGGAAGAAAAAGCCAGAAGAATTAGCCTTTATAGAAAAACTAGCAAAGACTAGAAAAAAAATGAAGAAAGTAATACATATTTTTTTAATCTCAATTTTATTTGCTTCTTTCTTCAAGTAATTTTTGATTTCTTCTTTTCTTGTTTTTTTTTTATATTTTTTGGATAAACAGCTTATTTTTTTTTTGCTCTAAATATTTTATTGTTTTACTAAATAAGTGGCCGGAAAAAAAATTTTTTTTTGGAAGATGGATAAGCACATAGAAAGGCATCATATAAAAAGAGAAGAAGAAGGAGAAAAAATGCTTATATTGGTTTAAATAAAATTCATGAGATTCTGCACAATGTATTGGTATCGTCCAGTTTTTTACGGTTCTTTTCTTTTGCACACTTTCAATAACAAAAATTTGTCTTGGTTTTTTCTACGAATTTAATTTTTTTTTCTTGGTGGAATAACAGCAAAACAAAATGTCATAGTTTGAATGGATACATGCATACATCTTATGAAATTGTTGAAAACGATGAAGTTAACTTCAATCTTGAAACTGCTACTGTTGCTTTTAGTAGTGCTGCTGCTGTTGCTATTGATGTCATTTTTTGGCTATTCAGCACAACAGATTCTTAAAAACTATCAGATTTAAGTTTATAGCACTGTGTAGTGACAATTTTCTGACCGATGACCATCTTAATTGCTTAAAAATTATCGTTGTCTATTTCATGTGACAGGATTGCAGAAGCGAAACGGGCACTGATATTCCGTAAAGCTCAAACAACTGCTCTCCCCTCTATTTCCTCCAAAAAAAATTCTGCGCTTCTTTAATTTTTTTGGGAGGGGGGGCAAGTTAAAGAGTTGTTTAGGCAGTTTAAGAAGAGGTGATAGGAGAAAGAGGGCCGGAAAAAAGACACATTGCGAGAAATGAAGTTTCTTTTTATTTTATTTTATTTTTTTTTAGAAATAAATGGAGAAACTATTCTTTTGTTGTTGTCGTTGTTGCTGTTGTTTAGTTTTTGCCGTTGAAGACATTTTTCCTTATTTATTCTTTGCTCGTTTTTTCTTCAACTTCCTTCTGTTAACTAAAATTATATTGCTTTCTTTGTTGTGCTGCTGCTGGTGGTGGTGGTGGTGGTGTTGCAATAATTTCATCTTAGTTTGCAAAACTGTTTTTTTTTTTAAATTTTTGTTTGAAATTTTAGAGTTTTCTCATTTTGGTGTCATCAAAACCGATTGTTTGAGTGTTAGCTGAGAGAATATGAAACTTAGTCTGATCGTCTAACAACTAATTTGAAATTCACTGTAGTTGTTGTTATTTGTTGACATCGTCGACATTGGATATTGTCGTCGTCGCCGTCGATATTGGATAAAATTTAGCGAGCAAAAAAAAAAAACGATCAAAACTAAATCCAACTTATAGAAAATGAGTCTGTGGAACAGTTTTAAATCTGATTTGAAATTTTGTGTTTTGTTTTAGTTCAATTTGGTTTGTTGATTGTTCGGGTGATTTTTGTTTTGTTTTGATTAATGCTATTTTTCTTTAATGAATCAAAAAAAAAACAGTGATTTTTTAAAAAGATATTTCAAGATTTTTCTCTGATTTTTTTTTCTATATTTATAGGGCATAGAGAATAATTTTTTCGCCATTTACTGTTGTTGACTATTTTGTAGCATTGAAACAGAGCTGAAAATTTATCTGTCTTAATCGTTTGCTTTATTTTGGTTTTAATTTTTTTGCTTTTTTGTTTTTTTTTCTGTTGCTTTAAAAAAAAATATTGGAAAAAGCTGCAAAACGAATTGTTTGGCTGTAATTAAAACTGTTATTTTGCCACTTTTTTATTTCTAAAGGTTTTAGATAATGTTTCTTCCCCTCTCCTTCGTCTTTCCTCTCCGCTCCCCACCTCTCTTCTATACATTATGGTGACGGTAAGACGGCAATGCTAAAAATTTTTTCTTTAATTTCAGTACAGCATAAAAAAGTAGCAGGAGAAACAGCAAAAATAATTAACCATATTGTCGAAAATATAGTTTTTTTTTCGAGGATCTATTTTGTCTTCGTTGGTATTTAAACTCGTTTGCAACATAGGAAGTTGTTCATTTATTTTTTCCCGTTTTTTTCTACTGGTCGCTTTTTACAGGGGAAAAATGGTGTGGAAAAAGAAGTT